CCCATCAGGCTGCTCTCAGGCTTGCTTAGTGTGCAGATGGGTTTGAGAGCATATCCAGGGCTAGGTAAACCTGGGTGCTTTGCTTAGCTTCTCAGCCTGCATCTTCTCTCGTATGAGATGGAAGTGACTATTTCCTTTGGTACAAGGACGTGAATCTGTGAAGTGTGTTGCTCCAGCCCTCCAGAATCAGTCTCACTGAAGGAGCCAGATTTCCTGGTGACCAGGAACGTCTGCTGCAGCTTTCAGACATCATTCATTAGCAGACTGTTTCTCTCTCTCTCTCTCTCTCTCTCTCTCTCTCTCTCTCCTTCCTTCTCTCTCTCTCTCTCTCTCTCTCTCTCTCTCTCTCTCTTTCTTTCTTTCTTCTTTCCTTTCTCTCTTTTAATTATTTTATTTTATTTTTGTGGCATGGGGAGACCAGGTCTCTCTCTACCTAGTCTCTCTCTATCTACCTAGTCCTGGTTGTCCTGGAACTCACCATGTAGATCAGACTCAGAGCTGAGTCTGCCTCTGCCTCCCAAGTGCTAGGATTAAAGGCATGTGCCACTACGCCTGTCTAGAAGACATTTTTTATTTGAACTTTACAATTGAATAAGAATAGGTCCCAAGCAGGGTGGCTCACCTGAGATCACCTACAGCGAGTGCAGGTGAGATCATATTTTAGCGTAAAATTGTAGCTGAGCCGGCAGGCTTGCTTTGTCCAGCATGTGCTTGCCCAGGGTCAGTTCCTTGGAGTCAGGAGTGATGTCTGTGCTCAGCATTTTCTCTCCACAAAGGATGCGGACTAGTGACAAATACAGACTGGCAAACACACTCACCGATAGAGAGAATTCTGGAAACATAGCTGAAGCATGGCTAACCTGGAGCCCAGAATCAGAGAAGAAGGTTCCAAAGAAGCGTCCCTGAAGGTGATGGCAGACTGTGGCCCTGCAGGAGCCAGGTTCGAGAAATAGAGCAGGAAGGTTAGAAACAGGAGAACTGGCAAGAGAGGGGGGTGTAACTTTACACTTCACACAAAGAATAAGCATCCACATGCAGGAAAGAGGGGACACTTTGTGAAAAGTGAGGTGTCAAGCTGGAGACCTACCATATCAGGGTCCCTGTGTGGACACAGCCTAAACCACACAGTGATCTGCCTTCATCCTGGTGTGTGCTGGCAGGGGAATAGCAATATCAGATTTGTGGCTCTGTAAAGTTGTCTTGTCTTGGCTGCAGTGTGCATAGCAGGCTCTCGTGGGCAGACAGGAGGCTGAGGCACAGGGGAGAGGCTGATGCCAGAAGGGCTGATGATGGAAGGGAAGGCGGGTTTCATGTAGGCTCAAGGAAGAGCCAATAAGATGGGTGCCCAGTTTTTTAATGTAGTTTACCTTTGTTACTTGTGTGTGCATGCACATGTGTGTGCACATGCCATAACACATGTGGTGGGGTCAGGAGGCAGTTCCCCACTTTCCACTGTTGGTTCTGGCCACTGAACTCATCAGGTTTGCTCGGCAGGCAGGTGCCTTCACCCACTGAGCCATCTTGCTTTGCAGATGCTGAGCTCTGACTGGAGACTGGACTAATCAGCTCGCTGGTATGGCTGTGGCTCTCCAAACACGACACAGGGAAGGAGGCAGCAGGTTTGGTGTGGAAGAGGCAGTCTGTCGTTTCTGTTTCAAACCTTGTGCTATTCATGGAAACCTGGACTAGACAGATTGGGAGCTAAAGGTACAGGTCCCTGGTGTGGAGACACGAAGAGGAAGCCATGCAGGCTTTGGAGCCACGGGCCCAAGACACAAAGATGTTTAAGAACCTTTTCCAGACTACAGGCTTTGCAAAAAGCAGCTGCCATTTTGCTTTTCAAAGTCCTTTGAACTGACTCAGCATGCCGGGTGGGGTGGCTGCTTGGTCATTTGAAGTGTTCCTTCATCTGTCCCCTGATGTCCTTTCAAGTCCACAGCCTTTCTAACAGAGGGTCCATACCAGGAATTCAGTTCCGATGTTTGACTAATGATGGGGTAACATGCTGTGTTTGGGGATTGCCTTTTCTTCTTTAGTTATGGTGAGATTAAATCTTAAATTTTAGATCGTGCTTCTCTAAAGGATGTAAGGTAAAACTCAGAACTCAAGGAGTGTAACTAAGAGAAGGCAGCGTAGAGGGCAGGGAAGGGCTCCGGTTTCATTTCAATTGCTGTGAAAAGAAAAATCTAGAACAAGAGAAAGAGTTTATTTTAGGTTGGACTTTTCAGTTCATCAGTGGCGGGCAAGTCACCAAGGCAGGAGTCCTAGACAGCTAGCAACAGTACACCATACCACCCCACACCACCCCACACCCCACACCACCCCACACCACCCCACTCCACCCCACCCCATCCCACCCCACACCACCCCACACCCCCCCACACCCCCACCCCACCCCACACCTCATACCACCCCATCCCACACCCCACACCCCATCCCACCCCACCTCCCACCCCCCATACCATCCCACCCCACACCCCACACCATCCCACCCCACCACATACCCCACCCCACACTATACCCCACACCACACCACCTCACACACCACACCACCACCACACCCCACACCCTACCCCACACATGACACCACCCGACCCCACACACATAGTTAAGAACAGGGAAAACAAACGTGCCTGTGCTGTGTTGCCTGCCTGCTTGCTAGCCAGTTTGCTTTACTGTGAGAGACCATTCAGGGCTCTCTTAGTTACTGTGATTAAACCATGCCCAAGGCAGCTAATACAAGGAAACATTTCATTGAGGGCTTGGTTTCAGTTTCAGAGGTTAGTTCACGAACATCATGGTTGGGAGCATGGCAGCAGGCCAGTATGGCACTGGAGCAGTAGCTGAAAATGTTACATCCTGGTCCTCAGGCAGCTCGCCAAGAGAGACTGAGCCTGGTACGGGGTTTTGAAACTTCAGAGCTCACCTCCAGTGGCATACCTCTTCCAAGAAGGCCACACCTCTTAATCCTTCCTGAACAGTCCCACCAACTGGGGACCAAACCTGTAAACATTCTCATTTAGACCATCACAAGGATCTACCCCAGGGAGTGCTGCTGCCTCAACAGCAGTTGGGACAGGCCCCCACAGACAGACCCATAGGTAAGTCTGGTCTAGGTAACACCTCATTTAAATCCTTCCCAGGTTATTCCGAGTTGGGTCAAGTCGACAGATCTAGCCAGCACAGGAGCTGAGGCCTGAGCAGAACTTTGTCACTGCTGACTATACTTGTATGGGCTTTGCAAAAATGTTGCTGATTTGAAGAGAATGACTTGAATCCCAGTCCAGTGGTTTTATTTCCAAGTGGAAACTCAAGCCTACATTCCCTTAGGGTTGTGGGATTGGCCTTGTGCCAAACTGATCCTTTGAGTCCAGGTGGGACGGGTCCTGACAGGCCCCCGATTCCCAGCCTCGTGTTCTTTCGTGTCCTTGCGATTCCTTGGAGAGACACTCCTCTGTCACCATCCGAATTTCTACCCATCTACCTCTCTGGATCACTGAAGCTAGAAAGAATGGCAAGAAAAGGCATCACTTTGTTTCCTGGCTGAGGAGTCATGTGACCCTGCTCACTGGCCACTGGTGCTGAGATACTCTTGGGGTTGACGTCGGGCTGCTTGTTACCAGTCAGCATTTCTCTGTTTAAGTTGTTTTACGATCATGTCTGTCTCATTTGTCGTTTTTTGGCATAGCAACATGTTGAATTATATAATTGCTTATAAGAATTGCATTTGGTAGACTAACGTTTGACTTTTTGCTTTATGAAGTCTGAAAATATGGCCTCATTGCTAACATTTCATTTAGAAGGCCGCCTGCAGCATCGGCAGACTTAATCCTAGTAGCTTAATCCTACGTGCTTGAATTTGCCATGGTCTCGGCCTTATATTAAGTGCTTCCTCTTGGGGTATAGATTTATTTGCCCAAACTTTGGAGTTGATGAAGGCTGAGTTTGGGTTGAGAGTCCTAGCCTGACCTCTGCTCAGGACCTCTGTCCTTGTCTGTTGGAAATCTGCTGTCCCCAGTTACTGGTCCCTCTAACTCTCACCCCGTGATCACTTTCCTTACTGAAGTTGTTGGTTGCAGGAGCCTAGGTGTCGAAGAGGAAGGGGCAGTAATGAGGGAAGGCAGTGGAAGTCAAAACCAGTGTCAAAATGGAACAGCGAATTCCATGTCTGATTTTACAGATACTGTGGCTACCCTATCCTGAAAGTTCACAGATGGCCTTTGTCCCAGAGATCCTGAGCTCCCCTGGCCTACAACATAAACATGACGCTTTGCATGTGTGGACTCTATAAAGTTAGCTTAGATATTAAATACCTTAAATCTGACAGCTAAAATAGCACTTTTGACCATTGTTCACCAGTTGGAAAAATATAGTATCCATTTGACCTATTTTACTGAGGTCTAATAAAAATGAATGGATGGTATAGTCCATATTGCTACACCCAGCACAGAGTCCTCAGACTCCTGATGCTGGCATGTTAGTCAAATAAGGACAGACTGAATGGCTGATTAGAAGCTACAGAAACAACGATGTCCTCCCAGTTGAGAAGCAAACAGTGACTATTTAGTTCTGTCAGTAAACATCTGGCTTAAGAAGCGGTCTGAGCCGTTCCTATGTCTTTTGTTTAAAGTAATCCTTTATTTTGGAATTTTACCAAAGGTAATAAAGCTTGCTTAGCAGGAAAGTATGGCAGTGCTTAGGCATTCGATTTAGGCCGATGGTGTCATCTCTGTCTTAGATTATGTAACCACACTTTGGCACACTGAGCAGTAAGAGAGCACACCGGCAAGCATGTGCTGTTTAAAAGAATACTTTGCCTCAGGAATGGCAATACACACCTAAAACCCAGCACTTGACAAGCCAAGGCAGGAGGACCAGAGTTTAAGGACCACAGGGGCTACCCAGTGAGTTCCAGGTCATCTCAGGGCTGTTCTGAGGTTATGTCTCAAAATAAAAGTATGTGTTAATACTTTGCAAATAGTTCTCCTTTTTAATTTTAGGAAACAGATATTGATGACAGGTATGGAGATCTCGATGCCAGAGGAGATTCTGACGTTCCTGAGGTCCCACCATCTTCAGACAGGACCCCTGAGATTCTCAAGAAAGCCCTGTCCGGACTGTCTTCAAGGTAGGATGGGTGAGGACAAGTCCATGTCGCTACCCAGCTCAGGAACAGGCTTTGAGGTCATCCTGGTCCGTCCATGCGCTATGTTTGGATTTTTGTGCATTTGGGGCCTATGGGAAGAGAAGGCTGTAATGAGGGATAATCTGAAGTGCTTCATTAGTGCCTGATAAGTCAGCTGGTGAAAGTCACAGCAATAGCCCAGGCTCCTAGATGTGCTGGTATCCAATGCCTCCTAATGAAAAAGGTTGTGTGTTCCCCAAATGCCAGGGGAAAAGCAGTAGTTTCTAACCTTTTCTTTGATGGTGGTTAGTGTGGTTTGGGTGTGTGTGTCTGTGTGTGCGTCTCAGGGGATAGGTGGGATATACATGCTGTGTGCATATGGTGTATATGCATTCTCTGTGGGAGTGTTCATGTGTGTGCCCAGGCCAGAGGTTGACATCAGGTGTCTTCCTTGATCTGCTCTCCAGTTATTTGTTTTGAGACAGGATCTCTCACAGAACCTGTAGCTCACTGATTTGGCTGGGATGCTCCCACCCCACCCCACTGGTGCCCCCTGCTCAGCAGTATGCCCCTGGGCTGAGCTTTAACATGGTTGCTGGGGATTCAGATTTAGGTGTTCCTACTTGCTCAGCAGGGGTATTGTTGCCTGAGCCATTTCTCAGCCTCCAGAATATCTTTCTTTAACTGAGTCTAAAATTACTGTCTGAAACACAACATTTCACCATTTTCTACTTGTGCTATTTTAAAGTGTTTATGAGCATGGGATTTCAGCTAATTCTATCTTACCCTGCACTGTATGCTTGGGTGACTTGAGTCACAAAACTAACAGAAGTGATGAAAATGTTAAGTTCCATCCAGATTACTATGTGAAACGTTACGCGTTGACAGTGTCTTTTTACGACACCACACAGAACGAGATGCCGTTTATGTCACATCCTGAGAGGCACAGATACAAAAGTGCTCTGAAGGATTCTGTGCTGTATATGTGTGCCCTATCCTCTGACTGCTTTCTGCTTGATGCTTCAGGACTGAACAAGAAGTGGTGGCTCTTATTCCTAGAGTTCGAACACATCTGGTGTAGTCATACAGTAAAGGTAACCTGGGTGTTCCCACTTGCACTTGGCGACAGCCGTTCTGAAGATATAAAGGAAGACTCAAACTCAGCTCAGTTTGTCCTACCTGACCCTCACACAGATCACGCCCATGATCCCTCAGTGTGTGTGTGTGTGTGTGTGTGTGTGTGTGTGTGTGTGTTTGTAGCGGGGGGCTTCTCCTCACCAGTAAGTGAGCAGATCTTAGAGAGCACTCACTGGTGTCCGCGTTGACACCGTGTGCCTGGAGACAGCAGATGGCAATGGGCTGAGTCACAGGGCTGTTCCCACTCCAGACACGAGTCTCAAGTCTGACCAGACACAGTATGGTGCCCATTGACCTCCTGTTAGACTTAGTTAAGAGCAGTCCGCAGGCTTGCAATGCTCACATTGCTAGCTGATTGTGAACACTCTTAGTGGACTGTTGACAAAGCAGTCAAAGAGGTGCAGGGATGAGAGCTGCATGTCCCTCACTGGATTCTGCAACTCCCTGTGGAGTTGGAGTCACTTTCCTCCTGGGAGGTAGACGAATTCCTTTTCACTTTTCTAGACTGCGGTCCTCAGTTGCCAGAATTCCTTGTTCCTCATTCTTTGGGGTTTCGGGAGACTGCCTGACAGAACTGTGAGTGTATAAAGAAGGTCTGAGCTAAGGGTGAACTACTGAACCAGGAGACCCAACACAGCCTGGAATCTTCCTATCCTGCGGACAGTGTTCCTTCCTCCTGGGATGGGATAGGACTTTGCTCATATGGGGGTCTTCTGGTCCCCTTACAGCCAAGGTGGAGTAGAGTGTTGCTTTACAGTCACCTCTGGAGGAAAATCAGAGTAGACTTGTTTTAGTTTCCTTGAGCTACCTAAGAGAAAAACCATCCTCATTTCTGTGGCCAAAAACAGAGGGATGGAAGGGAGTGGGTGAAGGCCAGCGAGGAGGAGTTTGCCTTTTGAAGTCTGTGTCTGAGGCCTCACCTGGCCCAGTGTTAATGTGGTCCTTGAGTAAATAAAGACCATGGGAGGTTGTGTGTCTGGAATTGTGTTTGAACATGGAAAAAAAATCTGTCACAGTCTCATAACCGTATTAGAATAAATCATTTCAACGCTGTGTTACCTGTTTTTGTTTTTTTCTGTTTGTAGCTGATGGAACAAAGGTATACCGTCTTCCTGAACATATCTTCACTTTAAAAATCTCAGATCTTTTCGAACTACATGCATGCATGCGTGTGTGTGTGTGTGTGTGTGTGTATGTGAAAGAGATGAACAGGTTTGTTATATAAATGCGCACACGTATGTGTGTGAGAGAGATGCACATGTGTATTATATAAATGCATACACGTGTGTGTGTGAGAGAGAGAAATGCACATGTGTTATATAAGTGCATATGCATGTGTGAGAGAGAGAGATGCACATGTGTGTTATATAAATGCATACATGTGTGCACGTGTGTGTTTGTGTTCGAATTTGTGCACCAGCTTGATGCTCTGTAATAATGATGCTGAATTCCCACGTGTCAGTCAGACTCTCCCTCCATAATGACTTTAATATAAAACAACAGCAGCAAATAATAGCAGCTACTTATTGAGCACACAGTGTGTGCTACACATTGCTTAACCACTTAGTACACACTGATCCCACAGCAGCCTTGTGACACAGCTGTGCTTACAACCTTTTGCAAATGAGAAACTTAAGGCGAAGAGAAGCGAGGTGAACCCAGGCACTGTGACGGGCATGGTGAGTCGAGGCCTTCTGCTCAGTGCTGTGTAATGAGGGGGAGCTCTCAAAACCAGAAAGATAGATTTTATAACACTGCTTATGAGGGACTTGGTTATGAAAACCAGAACAGTAGATGGCCTGACAGTTCAGTCTCAGGAAGCCGCTCTGTAAAGAGTTTATACGTGACTGTTTCTGTCCAGTATACACATTATCTTTTAATGTAATAAACCAAAAGGAAACTATGTTGTAGGCCTTGCATTTGTAGATAAAGGGTTAAAATCCTCACTGTAGGAAGCTTCTCTGAGCTGTAGGAGCTTGGGACCTGCCCAGAACATGTGTGTGCAGTAATGGTGTCTATTCTCAGACCCTCTCTGCGCTGTGCAGCCTATGTACACGTGTGTGATGCAGAAGTGGGATTATACCCCCTTGCCCTGCTATTTTAATTTTGTTCTGTGGTAGTTGGAAGCACTATCTCCTATCCTTCAGTATCCTCAGGCATATTTTAAATGAGGCATCCCACTATATGGATATAGTAGTTACATTTAATATCTGACTTTTTACAATGAAAAAAATCTATATTAAACATTTTCCTTGTAGCTGGCTTTTTCCTAGAAACCCATGATTTCATTAAAGTGAATCCATAATTTTCTTAAAGAGTAGAACTGCTTGGCCAAGGTTGCTGGTTATTCCCAAGCCTTTACTCTGTGATCCCAAGAAAGAAATGTGCTGTCGCAACCGGGAAAGGCCTTCCAGAATGGGAATGGGCGGTTTCCATTCACTGAAGTTATTTCAGGTAGTTCTTTATCCAAGTGTGTCCCAAGGTGGTGTGACCATCAGCTGGAGGGAGGGCGAGTGTGCTCTATGTGGTGTGCTTATCACTAGGTGAGTCTCTTCTAGCAATGCATGGCAGTGTATGGTGTCCCTGGGTTGGTGCTGCTGGCAGCTGGTGATGGGTAATGAATGTCGAGGTCTGGACAGCTGAGTACTGTAGGGATGACCTCACAGCAGAGTGGTCTGGTCCAAGTGTTGCTGATCAATAGAAGCCCTGGAAAGACCCGGACAAAGCCTTCTGATACCCTTGAACTCTGTCCTGCCATCTCCTCTCTCTGAGAAGCCACACACTTCCAGTTTACCTTTGCGCCAGGCTGGTAGCTGGACTTTCTCTAAACTCCCACTCACCATCAGACGACAGATCCTGCTTCACTGGCTGCTTCTGGGTCCTCACCCTTGGCTTAAATAAACTCCGTGACCACGCAAGTCCTTGCTGACTCATGATGCTTGTACCTCCAGGAACAAACCATGTCATTAACGTTTGAAACAGACTGACTCACTGGCTGCATTAGCAGCCTGTGATTTGATCAGTGTGTAACCACTTAAGGTGGTTGCTTTTGTTGTGGTGGTGGTGGTTTTTTTCCTGGCCGTATTAGGGATTGAAGCAGGACTTCAGACATGCCAGGTGTGGCCCTCTACCTCTGAAGGAGATGAGTCCTAGGAGATTCAATACCCACCCCCCCCCATTCCCACTCTACCCACCCCCACGTTAGCCCACTGACTGCCTGCCCTTCATACTGTGCTAGGTTTAGCTGAGTACTTCAGCTCTCTCTGCAAGACAGTTTTTGTTTATAGAATGACGTGGTTTCAGGTGTTTCCCAAAGTTATCATGTACAAATTGGGATGAGAGGTGTGGCCTGGGTGAGCCTCTGTGAGTAGGTCAGTGCCACTGATGTGGGTGTGACCTGGTACCACACAAGCACTCCTGTCATAAAGGTAACTTTCCATTGAGGGTTGCCCTTTGGCTCTCCATCTTAGGATGAAGCAGCAATCTCTTCAGGTACCACACCTTGATCCTGGACTTCCCAGCCTCCAGGCCTGTGAGAAATAACTCTCTGTTTTTCATAAATTGCCCAGCTCTAGGTGTTCTGTTGCAGCAGCAGAAGGTGTACTAAAGACTGAGTGCCACTCACATATGTAGTACAGGTAAATATGGCCTGGCCTTCTGACTTTGTAGTTTTGGAAAATCTGGAAATTAAGTTAATTTTGTATCTTATTGGAAGAAGAATTAGCTATGCTGTGACACATTACTGAACAGAGGCTTCTGCGTGAGACTGGATGTTCCCACTGTTTCCCGGAGAAGGAGAAGTGCATTCTCTTTACAGAAGAGGAACTTTGGGAGTTCACAGAGACAGTGGTAGGATGCCTGTGTGT